ACTGCAAACTAAAATATCCAGGAAAGCCATTAACACAATGCAAATGCATCGTATTTTTTCATTGTTGCATCAATTTCCATTTGCTCGAACGCTGGGTGAGCAGACAACGACCTGAGCCACAGCAACCCGAGGCTAGCTACCTTCCCTTTTCCAAAAGGATTTATAAACGTGGTGTCTCAGACCTCAAAACCCTTCAGGGCAGGCATAACCCTTGTACAGCAGACCACAATTCATAATCCTTTGGTTAAACTTAAGCACACGTTGTTACTTATCGAAAACTCGGCCTGTCACCTCTACAAAGTAAATTGCAATTCTGTGGACTGCAGCCACTTTGAGAGAACCGGAAAAATATGCGCGCCCGCCTATATGAAAACACAGTGACAACTTGGAAGCCAAACCCGTTTGAGATAGTGGTCATAAGTTTAGTCTTTAAGGAGGCGAAAAGTCTGGGCGAAGCAGCTCAAAGAGAGAACCGCGTGCCTATACAACCCCGATTCGTAGATGCAGATTTCATGGTCCTACAGCTCATTCCTCCTTAGTAACGTAGCTTGCTTACTAATCAGTATGATAAATTCTGGCTTTTCGTAGGCAACCAACCTGTAGTTTTCGCATCCTCGATTCCTTTGGAACTCAAGCCAAGTTTAATGCGCCTGCGTACGAGCCTTCTCCAGGATCTTCATCCTACTTTGCCAAAATGCCATCATCTTCCTGGTCGGGTCTTTCTCTCTTGTTAAAACAGTTTTATACTCTGTTTCGTGAGTTATCAATTTTATTTGTTAAATCGTTTTTTTTAATTGTTTAGCTACTCCCATCTTCCACTGTAATTTATTCTCATTTATCACCTTGCCTCGCCACTAAATTTGTCTCAACAGTGAACGCGCACTCCCGACACATGATTTATTGCAACCGCCGCTATAAAGTGGACGTAGTGGAGCGTGTTGCGCGATGTTTTTGTAGTGATGCAGACCAGATCAGCGTCTACCACATTCCATATTAAGAATCATACCATAGTTAGTTGAGAAAAACGTGGTCAAGATTTTGCGCACACCCTTTCCTCATACCAACATGCAACCACACCGACACCTGTTACCGCAATTTCTCCAACAGATGCCTCAACTGCACCTCAGCACAGATCGCAAGCATGACCTATAAGTAACTATTCTCACACAGGAGAAACGCAACCCATCCGGCAGGTGCACTAGATACGTTCCAACATCCCTGAATTTAGCCCGATGCTTACAGTGTTTTAACCACAACCTCTGCGTAGACCCAGCTGTATACGTTTCCGGTTGTTTGTAGTG